AGGCTTCCTGTAGTCAGCCACTGGTCAGTTTCAGCAGCGGCTGAATCTGGACGCCAGTTCCGACTTACATACAGATTCAACTTAAGAACAAACCTACAGTCCCTATCTTGTACGTAACCCGGGGACTGCCTGTAATTCCATCAGTAAACAAAATAATCCTGAGCTGTATTGTGCTAGGTTAGCGCCACTGCTATTGACCAATTAAAGAGCAGGATTTCCTAATGTGACTTTATATTATATTACGCCCTGAGGCAAAGAGCAGCTCCTCATATTCTCTCTGGATGGAGGCAAGAGTCTTTAGAGGAGAAACAGACACTTGGGCCAGAAGTAGGCAGGGATCCACAGGGAGATGAGCAGCAGGCAAAACTCTCAAGCAGATTGGATAGACATGCACACAGGTGAGGTACAAGGTGAACAAACAGGTCCAGGACAAGGACACAAGGGAGAATCTTGAGGTGGATGAATAGTATTGGTGTCTTTTATATGCTAAGATACTTTAATGTGTTTGCAGTGTGGCCCTGACAGGGTTTTCGTGGTGTTGCTCAATATAAGTAAGAAATCTTCTATATATTGAGAGTCTGTTTGTCTGTTCAAGAACTGCTCCTAAATGATAAGAGCCAGGACCACCAAATTTGGTATACAGCTTCCTCTTATCATAACTTAAAGCACGGTCAGGGTTTGGTTGTGTCAGAAAAATGGGATGTGTCTAGAATGGGATTGCTTCTCATAAAACCAAACAGAAAAGAGACAGGATCACCAGGCAGGTGAAAGGAGCTGGCTGGGGCTGCCTCCCCCTCAGTTCATGAGTGCCCCAGCCCTGAGCGCATCCCCCAGATACTCTTTAGGGAAGGCAGGGACTGAAGTTTCCCCCCATTTGTACATGGACATTGCTGGCTGTTTCCCTTTGTTAAGGAGTGAGGGGAAAACACGATTGTCTGCATTCCTCACTCTAGCTGGGAAGTGTAGGGGGCAGATGACCCTGGATCTCCCCAACCAGGGAACATGTAGCCTTTCCCTGGCTTTGCCCTCTGGAGCTACAGTGGCCATGGAGAGGTGCTTCTCACCTACCCCAAGCTGCTGCAGAGAGGGAGGGCTGGGGTAGTCTTCTCTCCTCAGGGCAGACTACATACTGAATCCCTCATCCCCAATCCAACCCTTAGCCATGATTTATTTTAAATGAAGCATGTACATATTCATTTTCCAAAAAAGAAAAATTAATTGAGTTAAGTACCTTAGCAATGCTGGGTAAATAAAGACAACTATGTTCTCCTCTGTTTGCTTTAACTAAACACATGATTAAGAATGACTGTGCAATTTCTGTACCGGTGTTTTTCCTTTGCTAATATCTTCTTTGCGTGCAGGGAGGCTTTAATCACAGAGTGGGTGGGTAATGGGAGGAGAAAGCTGCTGAATCTTGATACTTAATACTAAGTCATGCATTTCAGAGACTATGAATAATGTTGGCATATTATAGGCCATGTGAATATTCTGCATTTCATTCCACAAAGGAGAGGGAGTTACCTGCTCAAAGTGTAAAAATAGTTTGTCCTAATCCTGGCTGGTTTTAAGCAGAGAACATTGTACTATGAGGGGAGGATAAACAAACAACTTGCAGGCAAAAAGCCATCAGATAAGTATGAACACTGAGAGGGGGCTGAGGAACTGGGGGCATGCGTGTGTTAATATTGTTTCCCCTCTTACAGTGTAGGTGATCACTGCTGTTAGCAGTTCATGCCCTTTATCCTCCCCAAATACTGATCTCTCCAAACAGCTGCCATCAGGTGGAGATGAAATTCTCTTTGTTTGTGGTACTGAATGACATTTGTGTTCTGTGCCAGGCCAGCATCCCATATGTGGATGTCAGGACAGAGAGATCCAGCTCTGAGCTACATTTACATAAGGTGTGAATTCAGCTGAGATTTGAGCTGTCAGGAAAGTCCCAGGGCTGTAAATCTGATCTAGAAGTCCAGGTGAGAGAGAAGGTTCTGTGTACAAACTCAAAATTAGGTATCCTGGTACTCCCTTTTTAAATGCTCCATTCTGATATCTGCAGTAATAGAGAGGGCCTGTAGTCTGACAGAGCAAACTGGTTAAGTGCAGTTGGCAATACTTAGTGAGAGCCCCTGTATCTAGAGTGGGAACAGCTGGGGATACCTATCTCTTGGGAAGGTGCAGTCAGGAAGGATGTTTTTTTCTTTTAAGGATAGATAGCTTCTGTGCTGGGCGGATTCCTTTAAACAGATATACAAAGGAGAAAGGTGGTGGTAACTTGTTCTTATTTCACTCTCCAGGAACTCCTGCAAATCTGTGAACGCTGATCCATACTCCAGCTGCCCCAAGGTTCCCTTGCAAGATGGCAGCTACCTGGCTTACCATCTTTCTAATGTTGGTCCTTTCCTCTATTTACTGCATTGTTTCACATCCAAGCCCAGAGATGTGGTTTCAGGATCTCTTTCCACCTAGTGTGTGCCCTATAAATGCCAACGTCAACAACTTTTATGGCATCATGTTTGACGCAGGAAGCACCGGGACCCGAATTCACATTTACACCTTTGTGCAGAAAAACCCAGGTAAGGCTGAATGACAGAATTCCAACAAATAGGGGCATTTCTCAGAGACCCAACCTGCAGGATTCTGCACCCTGATCTTATTGACTTAGGCCATGGCTGTCTTAGAGGTGCTTTTCTCCTCGTGCACTATTCCAGAGTTTGGGACAACGGGGGCAGTTCTAATATCAGCTCCTCGATCCAAACTCTGGGTGGTAGGTACGCTCAGTCTGTGGTGGGGTTTCACTCCAGAACTCTTCCTAGTTAATCCATCAAAGGCTGTTGACCTAGGCACAAAAGAAAATTCTCAGTTTCCTAAAGCTTTAGTCTGGCCATCTGGGCAATTCTTTAAGAGGACTAAATCTCACACTGAGGCTAGGACGAAGTTTCACACATTTTCTTTTGTCACTTGATATGTTTCCGTGCATTGTAACTTGATGTATTTCAACAGGTGATTAATGAATTCGGAGGGCACAATGGGCACATTTTGTTAAATCATTCTCTGGCAAAGGAGGATCAGTGCATGTGTTGGAAAGGGGTGATTGTTATATTCAGGGAGATATAGGGGATGGTCGTCATGAGTGATTTTATGTGAAATTATCTGTTCCTAAGTTTGAAGGTAAGGCACAGCAGAGCTGGTGGTGGTATATGTGCTTCCATGTGCTTTTGTTTCATATGTGCAGAGCAGCCGCCAGAGCTGGAAGGGGAGATATTTGAGTCAGTAAAGCCTGGTCTTTCTGCTTATGTTGATCAGCCTGAAAAGGTAAGACTCATCTGGAATCTTCCATGTTTTCTGTGAATACGTGTTCTCATTTTAATGCTGCCTATAATTTACTTAGACTACTGAGAGCCAGGAAACTACATGTGGTGGTGGTGGGGAGGGAGGGGGTGGAGAGAAAGGGGCTCAGTATATGGATCCCCTCACAGCAATCTGGGGAGCCACAAGAGCGGGAACCTGACTAGATTTGTGACATGGGGGAAGTATTGTGATAATTTAGGGGATCTGGCTGTTCCTTATGTGTCAGGTAAAAAGCAATGGTATTAGAATTCTGCGCACAGTGTGTGTCTTCCTTCCTTCCTAAGCAGTGAATGCACACTTTCCTTTGTCTTGTTCCTAAAGTATTTATAGAACTCCATCTTACTGAATTATATGTTTCTTGTAAGGTGTGACTTATTGTGTGCCTTAGTCTTTCTGATTTTTTTTGTCCCCACCTACTTGAGTTATTCTTTGATGCTTATCCATAGCAATGTTTCCATATTTCCACTTTTTGTAAGATTCCCTTTCGAGCTCCTGATGAATCTGTTCCCCTCTTAGTATTCATCCTGTCAGCTTTCTTGAACTCTGTTTTCCCTTAGTTTTCCTACCCATGAGTATTTTACCCTATGAGTTCTCTGGACTTGTTATAATTTACTTTTAAATTCTATTTCCTTATTCTGCAGCTCTCACTCCTTTCCTTAGAATCAGGAAGTTTGTCATTTCTTGATAACTTTCACACGTATTATCTTCACTTTGCTCTGACATAAGTGGTAATCGGTCCCCTGCACTTTCACCAGATTGTAAAATTCTAAGGAGTTTAAAACTGTCCAAAATGGAATGGCAAAATATTTCACAAAGAAATGGTGACCATTATCATCCTGCACTAATCATTACAATAGTTTAGGTAATAGGGAAATTAATTGGTAGCTGGCAGTCCCACGTGGGGCCAGAAGCAGTAGCTCCCTGTGTGGAAGCAATCCTGGAAGTGGCAGCAGCTCTGCTGGCCCCATGCAGGGCTGCGAACACTTCTGGCCCCAGGCAGGCTACGAACCAACAGCTCCTTGTGGAGCTGGAAGCAGCCCCTGCCCATGGCGGGGCAGAGTGCGCTCCAGCCCAGCTCTGTCAGGCAGGTAGGTTGCTCCAGCCCAGCTGGGTGGGGTAACCATCAGAAGAATCCATTACAGAGGTTCACTGCACTAAAAAGAGAGGGGTAAGGAACCCCAACTTATCTTTTCACCTAAAAAGACAAAGAAACTGAGCACTTTGTCTTTGGAGAGAGATCCTAACTATAGGGTGGTCTTGTTTGAAGAAGTATGTGGTATCAACCTTACCCAGTATCTAGGCCAGGGTTGGCCAACCTGTGCGGAGAAAAAAATTGCAGCTCCTGACAGAACCTATGACGGACAGACCTGGAACCTCTCAGGTCATCTGCTCTCACGGCCGGGCTGCTGTGAGCTGCATGCGTGCTTACGGCCTGTGCCGTTCCATTCACGGCCCCCAGCGCACTACGTCATATCCTGCACATGCAGGCCGGATTACACACAGCATCCCAGCCTGCACGTGCTAGCAGCTGGCTGCTGAGCTCAGGCAGCGGTGGCAGCCCCGGGACCTGGGCATAAGGCGAAGTGCCGGCTGCTCAGCACACGTGCCCCAACGCCTGGAGGGAGATGCGCGGCTATAGTGGTGGAGGCAGCTCCAGGACCCAAGAATTAGGTTTGAGTGGGGAAAGGGGGGGTGCCTGGCTCTAGTTTGGGGAAGGGGAGGGGACGCACATCTCAAGGCCAGCTGCTCAGCGCATGCACCCTAGTGCCTGGAGGGAGACGTGTGTGGCTGTAGTGGTGGCTCCACCTCCGGGACCCAAGAATTAGGTTGGGGGAGGGAGGGAAGGGGATTGGGTTAGAGGGAGTGTGTTTGTGCCTGACTCTGGGGAAGGGGAGGAGGATTGGGTTGGGGGGGTGCCTTGTTCTGGGGAATGGGAGGGGGATTGGGTTGAGGGGGTGCCTGGGAGAGGGGAGGGGAAGAGCAGCCAGCGGGCTTTCTGAGACCTGGGATCCCCAGGTACTGGCCCCAGCTGTCTCTGTCCCCTCCCTCTAGCCAGACCCCCCCACAAGTGCCCTGCCCCAGCACCCTATCCCCTGCCCCCACCAGCACAGTTGGGGCCACATTAGTGAGGCTTGAGGGGTTTTGGAGTGGTTGGGTTTTTTGCATCTCACTTGTGTGGCCCCGACTGACTTTTCTGTGGGTCAATGACCCCTGAATCAAAACAGGTTCCCCGCCCGGCTCCTAAATAAAGACAACACTGAAACATTTTGTGTTTGACATAATATTTTATTTAAAAATAAATCCTGGCCAACAAGCCCCCAATTGGGGCCAAGCCCCCATCTGGCTGCAGCATCATAACACTCCCCCCCTACCCCCCCCCCCACCCCCCGACTCCGGCTTGCTCAGCACCCCAACCCTCCACCTGACCCCAACACTCTCCAGCCTGGAGCCCCCTCCCTGAGCCAGCATCCTCTTCTCTACTTCCCCCTGCACCCAAATTCCCTCCCAGAGCTTGCACCTCTCACCCCTTCCCAGTGAAGCGTGAAGAGCCAGGGCAAAGTTGTTGAGCCAGAAAAAGGGGAGGGGGCAGGGCCGCGAAGACCCAGGGAAAAGTTGTTAACCAAAAAAAAAAAAAAAGCTGTGCCCTTGGATGGATGTACCAGCACCTATTTTTCCCCACCATGGCACTTTTTGGGGTTTTTTGTTTGTTTGTTTTTTGCTCAAGAACTTTGGCTCTTCACATTGTCTCCATTGCTTTTGTGGCTCTTTGTCTGGAATGGGTTGTCCACCCCTGACCTAGACAATAGCTTGTTAAAGTCTTAACATTAGAAACCATGTTTTTTACTTTTGTTCGGTTGTAACCATTTTTAACTTTATTCCTTCTGATTGGTATCTCATAAACTTCTTTTCTTAATAAACGTATTTTACTTTGAATCTAAATCAACACGGTGCTGTGTTTGAATGGAAGTGATTGGTTACTCCAGTTAAAGTAAAAGGTATTTTATCTCTGCAGAGATAAAAACAAACCTCATTATTCCTCTGAATGGCCTAGGAAAGTGCAGGACATTGCAGAGCACATGACTTCGGGGAAATTCAGGTCTGTGTGGTGTTGGGATCATTTTAACTGGTGCTTAACAGGATGGTTGAAGTATAGCTGATGCAGAGCCGCTTTCCTCCTAACGAAAGAGCCTCTTTTTATTTGTAGGGTGCAGAAACGGTGAGAGGATTGTTGGAAATGGCCAAAGGAGCTGTGCCGCCTAGTTACTGGAAGGAGACCCCAGTGGTGCTGAAAGCTACAGCTGGACTGAGGCTGCTGCCTGCGCCCAAAGCCCAGGCTCTCCTCTCCGAGGTAACATAAGAGAGATCCTCTGTGCTATTACATGGTCCTCCTTACAGCATGTTTTATAACTCTCTCTTCCAAGCTCTCTACTATAACTTAGTCCCAGCTTTGAAAAAAAGTTGTAATTCCCTAAGAGTGTATGAGAACTCTCAGAACTTAAAACCTTCCTGCTGTGGGCTGGAGACCTCCTTTCTTGATAGAGGCAGAAAGGGTGGATGGAGAGGGCCCTAGTACACAGGAGGAGGAAGAGAAAGATTGCCTAACACACATTCATGTCTTTCTTTCTTCTGGTCTGGGGAGAAAGGGAAGCTTTGCCCAGCACTCCCAGTGGAGAGCAAGGCTCCTGGTCCAGGGAATCTAACCATTTGTCCTTTCTTCAGGTGAGAGAGGTCTTTGAGGAGTCCCCTTTTCTGGTTCCAAATAACAGTGTTAGCATCATGGATGGATCTTCTGAAGGTGGGTCTTGGGAAGGAGAAAGTATGGAGGCAGGGGGAAGGAGAAATGCCCTTCAGGACTGAAGGAAAGAACAGAACCTTTCTGGCACAACTCAAGCTGTTTGAAAATAGGATCCTTTTGTATTCTTGAGAATTTTGACTACAAATGCAAAGAGATTCTTGAGTTAGGTAGATGACATTTGAGGCTCCAGAGCAGAAGTTTCTGCTTGTCATTGGATGAACAGTGGCTCCTGCACTGTACAATTTAAAATGAACAGCTGAGCATTTGTCCTCTGTTGCAGGTGTGAGTAAAAGCAATGCAGTATTCCTCCACAGGTTACTTGAAAGGCTTACTGCAGTTCTCAAAGTTCATTGTCCCGTGACCCCTTTCTGACAACAAAAATTACTCCATGGCCCTGGGCAGGGGTGGTGTGGAGCCCAAGTCCCTCCACTCTAGGCTAAAGCCCTCGGGATCTGGCTTCAGCCTGGGGCAGTAGAGCTCAGTTTTCAATCCCAGGCTCCAGCAAGTCTAACGTTGGCCCTGGTGACCCCATTAAAATGGGGTGATCCACAGTTTGAAAACCGCTGGCACAGTGATAAGCAGTGCAGTGTCAAATTGTAGGGAAGCTTCTCATGGCTCCACTTGGCTGGAAACAGCGAACTGGAGCCATTGGGAACTGTGGGGCTCTCTGGGTATGTCTACACTACAGAGTTTTGTCAGAAAAACAGCTGTTTTTCTGACAAAACCTGAGTTAAGACCATACTGCAATCGCATTCTTCCAAAAGTAAATTGAAAGAACAGGTTTTTTTTCCAGCATTGGTAATCCTCTTTCTATGAGGAAGAAGCCTTTTTCCAAAAGAGCTCTTTCAGAAAAAGGCATGCGTGGATGGGGAAGAGGGAGTTCTTTTGAAAGAAGAGAAAAGAGGAAAAAGCACAGGTGCCTTGCTGGCCACTCCATCCATAGTAATCACAGCTTAAATGCGAGTCCATTCAGTGTGGGTGCTATCTTTTGAAAAAGCAGATTGCTTTTTCGAAGCGCTTTTGCTGTGTAGACGCTTTCAGAAGAAGTTTTTTCGGACGATCTCTTCCCCAAAAAGATTCTTCCAAAAGAAGCCTGAAGTCTAGACATAACTTCTGTGGCTATGGACTCTAGATAAATAAAGTGGTGCGGGCCTGCAAGTGGCTTTCCCAAAGCAGGCTTATAGCTCACTTTGAGAAACACTGGCCTATGGGGTTAGAGTGTGCAGCAAATTATACTTGAGTTTGCAGCATAATATAGCTGCAAAAAAGGCCATTATAAAATTGGAGTAGGTACACAGACGTCTCCCATCACAGAATAGGGAAGTGAATAGCCCTCTTTAGCAACTCTGAAGGACAGTTACATTCTGTACTGAGCACTTCATTACTTCTTGTAGTGCGTGAATAACTGATGTTTTCGTTTGCTTTCAATTCCAAAAAGTTTATTAAAAAAATGGGCCAACCTGAAAGTTTCAGTGTATCAAAACAAAAATCATTTTAGTTCAAGTAAAAACCATTAAAATGTTTCATTTCAATGATGAGCCTTTTAAAATAAAATTAAAGAAAATTTTAAGCCCCAGTCAATTAAAATTGAATGAACAAAAGGTTTTGTTTAAAAAATGTTGAAACATATTGATTTTTTAAATTTTTTTAATTTTTTCAGAATTTTCAAAAGTTTTAATTTTGATCAAAACAATGCAGCTAATTCAACATGAATTTGAGAAATGTTTGTCAACCCAAATCTGCATTTTTTGCACGCACAGAGAAAAGGGTTGAAAAATTATATTACTATTAATATAGTGACAATTTGGGGAATTTTGAAAAGAGCAGAAAAAATAATGTAGCTGAAAGGACCTATTTATGAGGAAATACTGAAAGAACCCATGCTGGTCTAGGAGACAATAAGCATGATAAGTCTACAAGTATTTGAAGGAAGGAAATAAGTAAGTTATTAGTGCAATACATAGTGTATTATTAGAGGTAATGGAACATAGCCTTTGAGAATGTGCTGCAGGAAACAGTGCTATGTGCTCAGGGAGAAAGACTTATGGGGCCTAGTAGAGGCCAGTATGGCCTTCATAGGTTTTTATTTTCTAAACTGCCTCCTTAAACTACATCTCGTTCAATTGGAATCCCATCACCGATGTACACTCAGGTGCTACCCAATGCCAATACCAAGCTCAGAGTACTTCTATACTGTGGGTTTTTTCCACCTCTGCCATGTCCAGGGAGCGCGTTTGCTCTTCTGCTTTTTTTGTGTGGAAGTGCAAACGTGCTCTTCCGGAAGCCCCCTCTTCCTCATTCCATGAGGAAAAAGGGATCTTCCAAAGGAGGGGGATTTTCTTAAATTTGGCCCAGTGTAGACGGGGCAAATTTCGGAAAAGCCTCATCCAAAAAAAAAAAAAAGAAAACAGAAAAAGCTGTAGTGTAGACCTAGCTTCAGAGGCTAGAGCAGAAAAGGAGGAGTTGTTGATATTTTACTGGTTCTCATGACGCAGTCCAACTGTATATACAGAATTAAAATATAAAGAATATCGAGTTTTAATGTTAAGAATTTAAATGCTCAAAAGTCAGCTAATGCCAAAAGCAAATGTATGCATGATATCTTATATCCATGCCAATTTGTGTATCATTGTGACATAGGGAAAAATTCTTAGATGCACAGATGCTGAAAAACCCTCTCTCTATTACTCCTTATGACAGTACATGTCGTGCCATTTTGTTATAAGTGTAAGTTAGATTGCGTAATGTTTGGGGCAGGAAACTTGTCTTTTTTGTGTATCTGAAAAGCTCATATAATGCTATACAAATGATAACTAACTTGCTGATTGTATGAGGAAATATGAGGGGCAGGAGATAGAAGCAGTTTCAGTTCTTTTTTTTTCCTCTCTCCTTTCAGGAGTTTTAGCCTGGATTACTGTGAATTTTCTAACAGGTAATTAACTCTGCTTGATTCAGTGGTAGGCCTGAACTTAATTCCGCCCCCACCCCCTCCCTATCCCCCAGGGAAAGGAGTTTGGAGTTGGCTGTCTTGTATGTTTCTCTCCCTGGTTTACCCTCTCACTCCTCTCCATTGTGGCAGCATGGAGGGGAAAGAATAGAGGAGAAACTAGAAAAAAGATGATTTTACGCACATACAATTTTTGGGTAAGTGAAGTTGGAATCAGGAGGAAAGGCCCCATATCTTTGCCACTACTATCTGCCTGTGTCTGCCAGCTCTGTGGTAATGAGTTGTGGGGAGGGGATCATCCTTTCCGTTCCCATGTTTCTGCCTGACACCAATCCAATATGTTCCAGAGACTAGCTTAGCCAAATCAGCTCCCATATAGGTCTGTGATGGATTGATGGCTGTAGGGACTTGTGGGCAGTCTCCGAGTTAAGGGTTTGTGTATTAGTGGCTATTCTGAGCAGGATGTTGTCTGCAGGGCAGCTCTATGGCCAGAACCAGCAGACAGTTGGGACACTGGACCTGGGAGGAGCCTCAACACAAATCACATTCCTGCCACGGTCTGAGGTGAGGAGTAGACGCAAGTATGTGTGCTAGGTTATCCTAACCGTGGGTAATGGTGCCCAGGCACTCACGTGTTCTTGAGACTCATTTTTTCAGCATGGGCACCTACATGGCATCTGAGATGGTCAGTCTGCATTTGTTCCTTTTAATATTGACAATTAAATTCAAATGACTGGTGCATATAAACAAATGATCCTGTTTAAGAAGGAGAAAAATGGATATAAGCCAAAGAAAAGCAGCTTGCATTGCTGTTTAGACCTAGGCTGGGAAGGCCTCACTAACATGGGTTAGATCATGGGTTAGATTTGGTACGCTACCAAAGGGAAAGGTTCCCAGGGAGGTTTCTTGCATGTTAGAAGAAATTCTCAGTGGTGTTAATCCTGGACTGTCAGTGCTTCTCCTCCAGCATGTTAGTGTATCCCTTCCTAATAGTCTATGTCCTTGAGAAGAGGAAGTACTGGACAGGTTGGAGGAGATGGGACCACACATGGGGAGAAAGGGTGGAAGAGTCGGTACCCACTAGAGCAGTGGTGCGCAGCCTTTTTTCCACCGTGACCTCCATAGTTGAGCTCGGCCATTGGCGGCCACATGGTGCGGGACTCAGATCCGGGCGGCCGGGGGCTGGGTCCGGCCGTTGGCAGTCACACGGCGCTTAGACCCAGGCGGCCGCACAGCGCAGCAACCCCCCAGGAAGATATCCGCAATCCCCTTGGGAGTCGCGACCCACAAGTTGTGCACCACTGTGCTAGAGCACACTCTCCTTCAATACCTGCAGTAGAAGCCAAGACTCTTAGTTTCACCACTTCTGTACTCTCAGCAAATACCCGTGAAACAAACTGACGTATGTGTATCATCCTTCTCTATTGCTGGGTCACAGAGAGGATGACAATTTAATATTGTAATTAGTAATTACTCTATTAGCTGAAATGGCTGATGGTGTGGTGGATCTACAGCTTCTAAACCTACTGATGGCCCATGGGGGTGTCAGTATGATGCCACATGAAGCCATTCCTGTTTTTCTTTTCCTGTTGGCTTTTTAAGAACTAGGAAATTATACACACATAAACTAGCCTGAAAGAAGATTATTAAGGTTGCAAAGTCAAGTGCTCAGAAAAAAAGCCAGAACTAAGGTTGCCTGTGCAACCTCAATTCAAACTCTTTGTGCATCTGCATTTTTATGATGCACAAAGTCTTTTTATGATCCCATATTATTTTTTCAACACAACTTAATCAGTTTGTGAGTGTTTGATTTTGCAACCTTTTAAATTAGATTTTGTTTGTGTAATATAATTAATGACTTTAACAAATAACAATTAGGACTGTTGGTTAATTGCAATTAACTCATGCGATTACCACTCAAAAATTAATGGCTATTCAAATTAATCACAGTTTTAATCACACTTTTAAACAGTAGCTACAGCACTCAACCCTAGGTTTAAGAATCTGAAGTGCCTTTCAAAATCTGAAAGAGATGAGGTGTCTTCATGCCTTCAGAAGACTTAAAAGTGCAACATTTTGATGCAGAAACTACAAAACCAAAACACCAAAAAAAGAAAATCAACCTTCTGTTAATGGCATTTGATCCAGGGTGATGAAAAAGAACATGTGTTGGTCTGCATTGCTCTGGATTGTTATTGAGCAGAACCAGTCATCAACATGGACATGTTCTCTGGGAAGCATAAAGGGACTTAATCTTTAGCATGTTTTGCATGTAAATATCTTCTGACTGTGTCTACAACAGTGCAATGCAAACACATGGGCTGTGTCTAGACTGCATCCCTTTTCCGTAAAAGGGATGCAAATTAAACACATCGCAATTGCAAATGAAGCGGGGATTTAAATCCCCCCCCGCTTCATTTGCATAAACATGGCTGCTGCTTTTTTCCGGCTCGGAGCTTTTCTGGAAAAAAGCGCCAGTCTAGACGGGGAGCTTTCAGAAAATAAAGCCTTTTCCGAAAGATCCTTTATTCCTTATTTTTAGAGGAATAAGGGATCTTTCGGAAAAGGCTTTATTTTCCGAAAGATCCGCGTCTAGACTGGCGCTTTTTTCCGGCAAACCTCCGAGCCGGAAAAAAGCGGCAGCCATTTTTATGCAAATGAAGCGGGGGTGGGATTTAAATCCCCGCTTCATTTGCAATTGCGATGTGTCTCATTTGCATCCCTTTTATGAAAAAGGGATGCAGTCTAGACATAGCCATGTTCTTACTTTCAGGTGTGACATTGTAAACAAAGAAACAGGCAACATTATCTCCTGCAAATGTAAACACACTTGTTTGTCTTCACAATTGGCTGAACGAGAAGTAGGACTGATTGGATGTATAGGCGCTAAAAATTTCTCAATGCAGTTTTTTGTACACAAGTCTACAGATGTAAGGTCAGCTTTCATGATAAAGAGATCCTGCTACAGTACTTGCAATGGGGGAATGGAAAAAATATTACTTTTGTTTTGTTATGGTGCAAATATTTGCAATAAAAATAAATATAAAGTGAGCACTATATACTTTATATTCCGTGCAGTAATTGAAATCAATATATTTTAAAATGTAGAAAACATCCAAAATATGTAAATACCTGGTATTCTATTATTGTTTAACAACGTGGTTAATCACAATTTTTTACTCACTTGACAACCCTAATAATAATTACGTACGTGGAAGGGGCAAAATTCAGGTTGCATGGGCTATATTAATTTTGAGGGCTGAATAGATGTAGCGTTATGGATGCTACCACAATACCAGATGCTACCACAATACCAGAATTATAAGTTATTTATAGAGGATGGATAACTCCATGTAGCTACAGCAGATGACTACAGTAAATTATCTGGATATATGTGTGAAAGTTAGCAGTGATAGTAGCACTAGGCCAGTGGTCTCCAACCTTTTTACACCCAAGATCACTTTTTAAATCTCAGAACAGGTGAAGATCTACCACTCCGCCCCTTCCTTGAAGCCCTGCCCCTTCCTTGAAGCCCCGCCCTCTCTATTCTCTTCCTGTCCATCACTTGCTATCTCCAGCCCTTACTTACACACTCTGATAAACAGTTTATTTTTAAATTATGTGATATATAAAATTAAAATCACATGTTTATAGTTATGAAATAAATGGTCTGTTTTTTATTCATGCTATTTAAATCTAAAATGAAGCATTTATAATTCTACATTTTGTGGGGACAGTTCTGTGGCTGGGGACAGAGTTCTGTGGCTGGGGAGTGGGGTGCCAGTGGAGGCAGAAGTGTCCCCTGCATCTGCCTCCTCCCAGGATTCCCCCTCCCCCCCGAGGGAAACCAGCGTGTGCGTGCCCCGGGTCCGCCCTCCTGCCCCCCATGGCGCAGGGAAGCCCCTTGCCTGCATGCCCCGGCACAGGGAAACCCCACACACGCCTGCTCCAGGGCCAACCCTCCCCCCTCCGCACATGCACTGGGAAACCCCACGCGCATCTCCCCCGGGGCTGACTCACCCCTCCTGTGCGGTGCAGGGAGCAGATGCTCCCTCCCGCAGTATACCCGGCAGAGCAGCTAGCGCACTTCCGGAATCGCCAGAAGTGGCGCTAAGCTGCAGGACTTCTGTCCATCCCCGGAAAGCCGACGCTACTTCCATTTTCACTTGTTCTCTGGGGTGGGAGGGAAATGGGGGCGGGGCGGACAGGACACCTCGCGATCGACTGGTCGAGGCCTCGCAATCGACTGGTCGAGGCCTCGCAATCGACAAGTCGATCACAATCGACCTGTTGGTGACTACGGCACTAGGCTTTGTTTTGTTTTTATTTTTTGATTGAGTAATAATGACTGAAATATATACTATTTACTTAAATTTTAGGAAACCTTGGAGCAAACCCCTGTGGATTTTGTGACTTCATTTGAAATGTTCAATAGCACTTACAAGCTCTACACGCACAGGTGAGGAGCAAAAAGCTGCCATCTTCACAGGAAAATCAGTCCTTTCGTAGTCTTGAGCCAACCTAGGATGTACCTTGTAATTCCATAGGCTCTGTCTAAACAACAACATTATTTCAAAATAAACAGCGTGTCTACACTATAAGCCTTTATTTCGAAATAATGCCAAGCTGGAGGACTTCTTACTCTTACTCATGATAACCCTCATTTCACAAGGAGTAAGTGAAGTTGAAGGAAAAGTGTTCTTCCTTTGACTTCCTGCTATATAAACAGTGCCAAAAGCCAAATTAAGCTATTTCAACTTCAGCTTCACCATTGACATAGCTGAAGTTGCGTAGCTTAATTCAACTGGAGCCCTGCTGCATAAACATGTCTATAGTGAGTTGTTGAGCCCCAATCTTCCCCGATTATTTGCTTGAAAACCATAACAGAAAGGATGCAGAATCAGCATGAATGCTAGGGAAAGGGGAAATCACAGTTTGTACCTCAGACAAGTTTTATGGGTAATTAATTTGAGAGAAGAGAAGTTCTGGTACATGGGGTGGTTAAATCAAACACTTTGGGCCACTTGTAAAAGAGAAAATGTAATTCAGTTATCAAGACTCAACCTTGTCAAGGGACTGGAAATGGGATGCAGGACCTTGCATCCCAAGCCATCAGCTCCAGAATACTTTGGCTTATTAGTCACTGAAAAGCTCATTGTGTATTTCCTTTGATCAGTTTCATGCCCTTCTACTACTGTTATAGGGTAAATAGGAGCACCTCACCTACCAGCTTTAGGCTATGCAGTTTGTGTATCCGTATGTAAGGGTCTATGGTCATTCCTTCCTGTCAGTCTCAGTAGGGGGCTCTACCACAGCGCTATCCAAAAAAGGGTAAGGGGAAACTGGCACTTTCAGGTCATGCGCTCTTTCTCTCACTCTCACACACCACAGCAAAGGCAGTGTATGAGTTTCTTGTTCTGTGCAGGGCCAGGTGTCAAGTAGTCTACAAGGCCCAGTCCCTCAGGCTGTGCAGATCAACATACAGTTCTTCAAGTGCTTGATTATATCCATTCCACAGTAGATGTGTGTGCTCATCACATGCGCCATTGCCAGAAGTTTTTCCCACAACAGTGTCTATAGGAGAGAAGCTCTGGCGCCCTCTGGAGTGGGGCCTGCATGGCAAAGTATAAGGGGCACCATCTGCTCCCGCCACCCTCAGTTCCTTCTTGCTGTCAGTGATGCTGCACAGAAAGTTCACTGCTCTTACAATCTATACGGTCATGAACTCCTATCTGTCTTTATGGGTACTGCTTGGAGTCATCTAATGTGAAATGGACACAGGCAAGTTCTTGAAGACTATCTATTGCTCTGCCCTCACCTGAGGGTAGACGCCCTTTAAAAAAGACAGTTACCTGTTCCCCTCTACTTCCAGTGTGGGTGGGAGTAGATAGCCTGGCTCTACTCACCGGGTGGTGGATGGTGCTTTTCCCCCTCAAACTTCCTGTCAGTCTTAACATAGGGCAATGCCTGCTCTCTACTCAGTTTCATTTCTCTCTCTTATTCATCTCTCTAAATTAAATAGCCCCAGCCATCTCAATCTCTCTTTTATGTAGACATGTGCCCAAGCCTCTTAACTCTTTTGTCACCCACTTCTGAAATGCCTATGTTGCTTCTGAGATAGGTTGAACAGAGCTGAGCCCAGGTCAAGACATACCACTGAATTATGTTAGCAACATTAAGAGTGTTTTTAAGAATTGCTTTCCTATACTTTTTGTATCCAAGTAGTTTGGTTTTTGCCCATTGCTACCTTTTGTTGAACTGTCAACAGTGATGCCCATTCAGTTTTCCTGAGTGGTTTACAACTAATTTAAAATCCAGCCTATTGTGAAGAGTTAGGGTATGTCTACACTTGCTCCCTATCTCAAGATAGGGATGCAAATGTAGTGTATCGAAATTGCTAATGAAGCACAGGATTTAAATATCCTGTGCTTAATTAGCATAATCGCGTCCAGGCACCATTTTGTAATCGCATTATTGCGAAATAAAACACCCCATGTAGCAGCGTTATTTCGAGAGAAAACCCTTCTCTTGATATAACTTACTCCTCGTTGTATGTGTTTTCTCTCGAAATAACGCTGCTACACAGGGTGTTTTATTTCGCAATAATGCAATTTCAAAATGGCGCCCGGATGCAATTATGCTTATTAAGCGCGGGATATTTAAATCCCACACTTCATTAGCAATTTTGGAACATTACATTTGCATCCGTATCTTGAGATAGGGAGCAAGTGTAGACATGCCCTTAGGGATTTCAGACCAGTTCTAGTGCACAAGAGGCCATTATCATAATTAGAGACTTTGTAATAGTCTTAGCTGATATAATGAATGCCCCCAAAATTGGTGCTGCAATTTTGTTTTTCTCTCTGGCTTGTAGCCATTGTCTGTGATCATGTTTCCTATTGTTTTACATTCTTTATATCTTTACCCAAAGTATTTCTGCACTCCCCTCTTGGCCATCAAATTGTCTATCATGGGCATTATCAGGGCTCGCCGAACCGCGGTGAACCCCGCTCGCCAGCCGCACTGTCCGGTGATCTGCTCATGTGCAGATCGTTCTGCGCATGCGCAGATCGCCCAAACCCGGCTCTTCCGGATTACAATCCACTCGCCATGGGCGAGTAGTTTGGATAATTTGTTGAGCCCTGGGCATTATAGATAACTAGTCAATAGCCCATCATAAGACGGGATTTTGCAAGGAACCTGGAAATCATAAGATGAGTGTGTCTTGGTGGGGATCAAGTGTCTCCCTGCCCCACCTCTTCACCCTGCCCTCGGGTCTCTCCTCCACGTCCTATTCCCTTTCTATCTTGGTATTCTCTCCTGAGCCTCCGGTCTCTCACTCCGTCTCTCTCTCTCTCTGTCTCTCTCTCCCTCTCCCCTCCTAGTGCCTCCCCCCCTTCCTCCTGCTGCCTCCTCCCCCTCTCCTCCATCTCTCTCTTTCTCTTCTTCCCCTCCTGCCTGCTTCTCTCTCTCTCTCTCTCTCTCTCCGCTCTCCTCTGCTTCCTCTCTGTCTCCTCTGCTCTCCTCTGCTCTCCTCTCTGTCTCTTCCGCTTTCTTTCTTTTGAATGTGGTGCCCTTTCCTGACGTCAGAGACACACGCTCGTCCAGGCCCCGCCCCCCTTCCGCTCCCGCCGTGGCGCTCAGCTGACTTCTGCATCACTGAGCCAGGCCGCCACACAGGAGCAAGCAGCACAAACGGCTGTTTGGGCTCCGCAGTTCCCATGCAACGTGGGTCGGTGCCGCTTGAGTGCGGGGTGGATTGCCTTTGGCACTGTGGGGCAATCCTGCCCCGTCACACAGCGCTCAGTGCTCCGCTCCATCTACTGATCAATGCCACGACGCCGCTCAGAAGCAACAGAAAATGTTACAGCGTTACAGAGGCACAGGTGCCGCTCAGAGGCAACAGATAACATTACAGCGTGACAGAGCCACAGACTTTTGGATTTTATATATATGATGTTGCCCAATTTCTATTATATCCTCATTTCCTCATTGTGTACAGTTTTGGGTCGTTTGGCTTATTTACCATTCTCATTGTATTTGTTTGTAGTACTGTACTTATGTTAATGCTGCATTTTACTCAGTTCTTTTGGTACAGCAAGTCCCTATCTTTTCTCTAGTACTTTTTATTTTCAGTCTCCAAAATACATGCCAGTTTTTTTTGGGTTGCCCAAAAGCTTCTTATTCTTCTTTACCTAATTCCTGCCTAGTTTTACATTTGCACTCCATCTGTGTGCATTGTAAAACCTTGTTTTTGTACTAGTCTGTTGGCACTTGATATTTTTCTCCTGGTAGAGAGAAGTTCACCCACATGTAGAGGGAGAAAGGGGGGGGGAAGGACGCACAGCAAGGGAATCTGGTTTGTGCATGCCTTAGATTTGGGGTTGGCTGTATGTGAGGCATATTAGATGAGCCAGGACAAAACTGCAATATTGTGTTTTGTTTTTTGCAGCTATCTGGGCTTTGGACTAAAAGCTGCCAGACTAGCAACACTTGGAGCTCTGGAAATGGAAGGTACAGTCAGATGAAATAGCTGTTTTAGATTTCTAAAGAAGTGGGTGAAGTTCATCTTGCACTAACTGCTCCTTTCCTATGTCTACCCTGCTTTACATTCCCTTTTTCTTCATTTCTCTGGCAGATATCTTCCCCAAAACTTTATTTCCCATTAATCGGCAATAGGCCTAGCTGTACTGCAGCTTGCAGGGCTAAGGGGGGGCCATATTCCAGAGTTCAAATTATTTCCCAATTCAGAATCAATTTATGTAGCATCTATCTTTTTAGATTCACCAAATCTTAATTTTCCCATCGGCAATCTATAAGTCTACACAGCAGGGCTAAAGCCAAAATAAGCTACACAACTTTAGCTATGTCAATTGCGTAGCTTAAGTCAAAATAGCTTATTTTGGCTTTTGGCATAAGTCTACACAGCAGGAAGTCCGAGTTAGAGCGTTCTTCTCCTGACTTCCCTTACTCCCCATAAAATGAGGGTTACAAGAGTCAGAGTAAGAAGTCCTCCAGCTCGACATTATTTCAACATTATATCGAAATAACTGCTTGCTGTGTAGATGCGAACTATGTTATTTCGGAATAACATCAGTTATTCCAAAATAATGCTGCTGTGTAGACATAGCCTAAGGCACCTTGGGTTTTCCTCACTTTCTTGTGGAGTATTGATTAGAGGGGTGACATTGGGAGGTCTCAGCCCTTCCTAACTTTCCTCTGGCTTCCTTGCAGCAGCTGATGGACAGATGTTCCGAAGTTCTTGTTTACCAAAGCGACTGGAGGCAGAGTGGCACTTTGCGGGAGTGAGATATCAGTATGGTGGCAACAGAAAAGGTATATTAAGGAGGTTTTGTTTCTGGTAGAAGCTGATTGGGTACTTTCCTTTTGTGGGCTAAGTCTCAGGCCCTAGAAAGAAAGTTTTCTTGGTTAACACCCTTTCTGTAACCCTGTTCTTTGGGAGGATGTCTGTCAGTGCCCAGGGATATGGTCATAGAGCCAGTCACAGGTCCCTTGATATGGAAATCCATTGATACAGCATAAGAAAAATTCGAAACTATCTGGCTTAGGACCTTAGGACCTAGCTGGCCTTATAGGAGTTGCCATTTCTCACTGAAAAATGCTGTAGTTCCTTGGTGGGAAGTTTTGCATTTACTTGTCCCAGTGAGGTAAAATTAGTGATAACTTTGAGAACTCCTGGGGTGAGTGAAGCCCAAGAGAATTGCAGTATGGCAAACGTACCTATCTTTGAAAGGGAGCAAAATGGACCTTGCGAATTATAAACGTGTCACCCAAACATCAATACCTGGAAAGATACTGGAAAACATTATTAAATAATAAATTTGTAAGCAGCTAAAGGATAATAGAGTGATACGTAATCACCAGCATAGATTTGTCAAGAACAAATTGTGGTAACTCAATTTAATATTCTTTGACAGGATGGCTGGCCCAGGGAATAAGGGGGACACGGTATATGTGATTTATTTTAGTAAAGCATTTGATACCATTACATATGAGATGAAGATAAGCAAATTAGGGAAGTGTGATGAAATAACTATGTAAGGTGGGTGCGTCCAGATTCAGCCACTGTTGAAACTGACCAGCAGCGGCTGAATTGGACACGCCTGGGGCAGAGCAGCTGGGGTGCTGCTGGGTTGGTCCCGCAGCGCCGCTCCTCGGCTCTACTGGACCAACCCGGCAGCACCCCAGCTGCTCTGCCCCAGGGGTCCCCAAGTCAGCTGCTGCCGA